GCGGCGGAAAGTAAGGAGATCCGGAATCGTCCGGATCTCGGGGGGTAGTTCGTTCCAGAGGGTGGGGGCACCCACAGAGAAGGCCCTCCCCCTGGGGGTCGCCAGCCGACATTGCTTGGCCGACGGCACCCTGAGGAGACTCACTCTGTGGGAGCGTACCGGTCTATGGGAGGGAATCTGTGGCAGAAGGCGGTCTCGGTCTCCCAGTAGGGCCCGAACGTAGATTTCCAGGGCTCGCAGCTACCTGAATCCACCCAGTTTTATTTTTCGGGGCGTGTTTCTTTCTCTCGCTCGCTCAAAAATCAAACTCGCGCCTTTTAGGGGGCGGAGGCAAGAAGCTCCCCATGCTGAAACTTGCTTTCACTTATAAGGGGACGGTTTTCCTTTCCATGGATAGGAATATTCGGCCGGGTTCCTGTTTTGCCTTCAAATTAAAACCAGAATGCTCCATGGAGGTGGTCAGAAAGTCCGTCCACCACGGCTTTCGTTACAGCAAACCGTGTCAACCCCAAAATATGTCAAGGGGATTGTTCCAACCCCCTCCATCCTTTTAAATCAGGAGTTTTCCAACTTGGCCCTTTGATGACCTGTAGACTTCAACTTCCAGAATTCCTCAACCAGGCATGCGTGCCTGGTTGAGGAATTCTGGGAGTTGAAGTCCACAAGTCATCAAAGGGCCAAGTTGGAAGACCCCTCCCTGCCTGCCTGGTTGAGGAATTCTGGGAGTTGAAGTCCACAAGTCATCAAAGGGCCAAGTCGGAAGACCCCTGCCTGCCTGCCTGGTTGAGGAATTCTGGGAGTTGAAGTCCACAAGTCATCAAAGGGCCAAGTTGGAAGACCCCTCCCTGCCTGCCTGGTTGAGGAATTCTGGGAGTTGAAGTCCACAAGTCATCAAAGGGCCAAGTCGGAAGACCCCTGCCTGCCTGCCTGGCTGAGGAATTCTGGGAGTTGAAGTCCACAAGTCATCAAAGGGCCAAGTCGGAAGACCCCTGCCTGCCTGCCTGGCTGAGGAATTCTGGGAGTTGAAGTCCACAAGTCATCAAAGGGCCAAGTCGGAAGACCCCTGCCTGCCTGCCTGGCTGAGGAATTCTGGGAGTTGCAGTCCACAAGTCATCAAAGGGCCAAGTTGGAAGGCCCCTGATTTAAAAGGAAGCCTGCTGCTGTAGACCTCCCCATCCAAGTCTCTGCTCAGGGCTGCCTCGAGACCTCAACGGCTTTAGCTGCATTTGGAATCCATGAAGGACAATAGTGGAGACTGTGTTGTTTTTGTACACCCCCAAATCCTTCCCAGGTGCCTCCGAATATGCTGGTGAAGCTCACACACAGACACACAGACACACAGACCGAGTGCCATTGCAAAACGAGAGCCAGGTCCATTTTTACATCTCCTTCTACCCTTAATAAGCATCTGCTTGCTTGAGCAGAAAGTGGTCCAGGAAAAATATTTCTAGCTTTGCTTTTCACCACCGGCTGTTTATAGGCTGGCTAAACTCCTGGCCTTGCAATTTGTTTTTAGCCCGGACGATTCGAGACTTCCGAGTCCAGCCAGCCGGCATCGTGCATGTGGCCAGACGTGCGGCCATGACGCCTTTTCCAGTCTTCTCCTGCCCTTCGACCAGGAGGAAGCGGATCAGGGACAGAACCGAGCCAGCCACGGCCACCAAATGCCCCAGTCCAGCCTCCCCAGCGGTCCGTCCTTCTTTGAAGGAGGAGCTAGCCGGCAAGGATGCTTGGCAAACATCGCAAGGTTTTACCATCTCGGGGTCCAGCCCAGTTAACTCACTGGCTGTCCGAGGGAGGAAGCCGCCATCGTCCCCGTTGCCCTCGCTTAAGGATGGCTGCGAGGAAGAGGGGGGCCGAAAGGGAAGGGGGGTGCTTTACAATCTGCCTTCAAGCATATTGATGGCCAGGATCATCTTATTTATAGCTTTTCGACAGAGCCCGGCTGGCTTTGAACGGGAGCCAAACGCTGCATTTTGCTAATGGGAAATCAGGGCTCCCCATCAGGTTATTAAAAGGGAAAGAAAGAAAGAAAGAAAGAAAGAAAGAAAGAAAGAAAGAAAGAAGGAAGGAAGGAAGGAAGGAAGGAAGGAAGGAAGGAAGGAAGGAAGGAAGGAAGGAAGGAAGGAAGGAAGGAAGGAAGGAAGGAAGGAAGGAAGGAAGGAAGGAAGGAAGGAAGGAAGGAAGAAAGAAAGAAAGGGAAACGTATCTCACTTGGATTGCTTCTCCCTTGACAATGAATTCCACCCAGGTGTGAATTTCCCCCAATAGGCCTTTGCAAAGGGCTGCTCTCCTGAGTGCCTCTCCTTCCCCACCACAGGCTGCCTCCCATAAGCCTGGGAGCTGCTATCAAGTGGGGGGGGGAGAGGCCAGGAACGTCGGGGGCTCCCAGCTCCCCTTTCTCCAAGGGCCCCTCCTCTGCCCCTCAGCGCTGCCAGACTCGGCTGCAGCGCATTCCAGCGGGGCCGTCAGGGATGCTGGGCTTGGCGGCCATCCCACCGGTGGCGCTGCTCTGGAGATGCTGAGCCAGCAGCAGCAGCCCTCCCTCCCTCCCAGACGTCTCCTTTTGCCCCAGCCAAGAAACCGCCGCCCGCAGATCCATTAGCTTCTCCTTGGGGCCCGCTGCATTTTAATGGGTTTTTTTCCCCTCCAGCAGGCAGGAACGACGTGTGTGTGTATATGTGTGTGTGTGTGTGTGAGAGAGAGAGAGAGAGGCTCACCTTCACCCTCCAGGCTGGGCAGGCAGCCCCACCATGCGCTCCCTTCTGTGCCAGACTAGTCTTGGCTCAGACATAGCTCTTCTCCCCCCCTTCCCCAGCCCGGCTGCAGCTGGGCCGGATGTGCGAGGCCAGAGCCAGAGCCGGCCCAGAAGAAGAGCTGAACCGTCTGCAAGGAAGCCATGAAGAGCTGAGTCACGGCTACCGGGCTTCTCTTCGGAAGAGGCCTCCCTGCAAAAGCGTCTGAGCCCCGGGGTGACCCACGCCCTCTTTCTCTTGCCCCCCCCCCCCCAGGGATAGCCAGGCGCGGGAGAGGGCCCGGCTGGTTCCCCTGCTGCCTGTCCAGCGTTCCTGGGAATCGCCGGGCCGGGCCAGAGAGACCCCGTCAGCGCAGCCTCCCCGGGCTCCTTCCAGCGCCAGGAGCTGTGCGGCTGGGCGAAGAGAGGCCGAGCAGAGCCAAAAGTATTTAAACAAAGGACGCAGGAGGGGAGGNCTGGCCTAGGGACATTTTAAATTGGTTTCTAATTAATTTTAAAATAAGAATAGGCCTATTGAATATATCTTTTAATTGATTTTAAATTTTGTAGATTTGTATCGATTGTTCTGTTTTTAATTGGCTGTAAGCCGCCCTGAGTCCACTAGGAGAAGGGCGGGATATAAATGCAATAAACTTGAAACTTGAACTTGAAACAATGGCTGTGTCAAGTCTGCTAACATTGGATGTTCTTGCTTGCCATATGTGAAGAAGCAAACATGTTTTATTTAGCCTACATATCACCTCTAGAGTTAAAGCAGACAATACTAGCCTAGTAGGTGGGAAAGTATGCCAGCTAATCATAACAATATCTCAGCATAGCACAGCCAAGGTCAGCGTAACAGGAGAAATAGGGAGGGAGCAATTCACACCTCAAACTAATTGGAGCATATGATTGATGACTGTAAAATGAAGGACTGAGTTATGCGTTGTTACGGGTGCTCGTGGGGTGGGAGGTTCAGTTTTTGGCTTTTATTGTTCGTGCCGAAGCTATGTAGCCTAATAAAGGATTCTTTAAGGTAAATAAGCCTCAAAGTTCTTTGAAAAGCTACTTCTTTTCGGAACCATGTCATCCTGTGCCTCACAATGGCTGCGGCTAATTGGCTCCCTGACACCCCAACTGAGGCCTAGCAGACCCCTGGGATTCCCTATTCAGGGGGCTCCGTTGATTTTCTTATTCAGGCTCCAGCTCCAGAGATTGGTGTGCTGTAGGCAAACATCCAGGGCTCCAGTCCCGATGATCAGCAAAACCAACAAGTTACCCCTCAACGGGAGAAAGCTCTACCTCTTGCAGCGTCTCCACCATCGACTCCAACCGCATCCGCTTGGCCACTTCCTCTTCCCACCTGAAAGAGAAGCAACAAGCAGCATGAGGAGACGTGGCCTCCCACTCTTATTTTATTTATTTATTTATTTATTTATTTATTTATTTGATTTATATCCCGCCCTTCTCCCAACGGGACTCAGGGCGGCTCACAACATATTAAAAAACATACACACATTTACAACCCCACCCAAGTAAAACCAATTAAAACCAAATATTTAAAGTTGTGCTATTTAAAATTACTCTTAAAATAAACCCAATTTAAAATCCTC